TGACTCTGATCTACTGTTCTGGCTACACTCCAGGGTGGAAGAACAGTTTTTAGTATTAAACTATGATTAAATTTGGAGGGTAGACTTTATTCAGATTTTTTTTTTTCTTAATAGGGAAGACGTATAGGATGTGCAGCTGTGGGTTTTTTTTTTTTCATTTTTTTTAAACACAGCTATGGTCACTCACAGATTAGCAACAAAACGATTTCCTTTGATGTGATTAGTCTGTATTGTACTGTCCCACATATGTATTGTAGCAGCTTGATTTTTCTGGAATGAATGTAAGCCTTTCCTGTGCTGACAGGGGGGGATGAGTTGCACTAGGCCCTTCTGGTCTTAGCTCCATCTGCTAATTAGCCTGTGTTGTTTGTTGCTGCTGCTACTCATGAAATCTCAGTACGTTGCACCTTCCTTAAAAAACAGAAAAAAATGGGCAGGTAGCAATCTCAGTACGTTGCACCTTCCTTAAAAACAGAAAAAAATGGGCAGGTAGCATAAAGTCCCTGCAAAGAACCTGTCTGACCACATCCACCCAACCACCCTTGCATTGCTCAATGCTGCAGTGCTTTGTAGATGATCGTCACTAAGGAACCCCCTGACAACATCTTGTGTCCAGATCAGACCAATGACCTGCAATACTGAGGCAGTTTACGTAATGTGAGTAAAAGACACATTTTTTTTGTGTTGTGCTGAGTTTACAGGCGGTCATTGCTTATTTTTGTCTTCTGTTTCTTGTCCTGAATCTCTTCAGAACAAACTCACCAGAGCAAACCTGCTTTTTTTTTTTTTCCCCTGCCTTGCACCGCTCCCCTCCTCCCAGCTTTTCAAAATTGTTCTAGAATTACTTGTCGTGTTTCTGAATACTTCAGTTTTGACTCATCTGGGTATCATGATTTGATTACATTTTGCATGCGTTACTGTCAGGATCTTCAGCTCATTTGAGTGGTTCACAGAAGGAAAGATAGTATGTTATCTTGCTATGCTTGTTTCTTTGTTTTTCTGGTCTGATAGGACAGGGTATTAACTTACACACTCTTGTTGTATATAGCCTGTTCTCAGACACTTTCTAGACTATGTCTTGAAATGAATTCTAACTAGATGAATTCTAACTAGGTCAGATTTCAGGAAGGATTACTAAGATGATCATGTGAATGGCAAGGTTATCACAGGATAAGGAAAATGAAAAGAACTTGTCTTGCTTAGCTTAAGAAGTGATATGACTGCTCACTCTAAATACAACATGTGGTAAACACAAGAGAGGGAGAACTACCAAAGCCACATAACAGTGCTGACAGAAGAACAAGGGGGACAAACGGTCCTATGAATAAAGTCCTTCTGTAATTTCAAAGGATTTTTCTAATCATCTGGGCAATGAGCAGTCTTCCAAAGAGGGGATAAGTGCCAGGAAACATAGTAACTTTTAAGATAGAGTTCATATGTATGACTTTCTGGGACAGCAATGGGGAGGAGATGACCCATGAGGTCTTTTCCAGTCCTGTTCAGGCTCTTTTGTGAAGTTTATCTTTATAAATTCCTGTATGCAATTACGCTGCTCTCCAGGAAGTTTATAGGTAGTGCCATCCTTGGTAATGCCATCTTTGTTTCTGCTTGGATGCAAAAATGTCTCCTTAGGGACACATTGTTCTCATTTTTTCCTGCATACTTTACATCTTTACAAACTTTAGCTTGGCCTACTAAAGCTGCATTTCTGCAAATACTGATGGCAGTCACTAAACCTGCCAGGTGTTGGTTGATATGAAAAGCCTCTACTTCCTTATGTCTAAGGAAATACTCTGAAGCACTAGCGTTGGGATCAGATTGAGTGCTTCATATAGGATTTAATCAGAACTTAATTGAATTTTAAGAGGGAGAGGATGTTGGTGGTCTGAGGTTAATTGCTTTAGCCCAGCAACCTGAATTCTTTATCTAGCTGACTTACCGTATTGGAGATCTAAAGAAGGATTTGAGGATTGGCAAGCCAGAGAACTACATTGAAGGGATCTTGCAATTTACCTTCCTGCATGCCTAACTCCCATTCTGTCTGTGGGTGTTCTAAAGAAGCAAGCTTAGGAAAATGCTGTTTACCAACTCAGTTCTTTTGCAGATATTCTCGTGTCTGAAATAGCAAATTTCCTCTGTAGATGTGAACACATGGTTTTAGAGGCTGACAGGTAAATTGTGCAGCAGCTTCACTTAATCACCTGGATTAAAGAATGTAGGCTAGAAGAAACAGTGGTGAAAGTGACTAGTATAACCAGAACAAATTGTTACATCAAAAAAGCAGAATGAAGTTCAGTATCAGTTTGGACTCTGTTTAGTGTGTGGTCTTGTCTGTACTTGACCTGGTTCAGGAATAGATTTCTGTATGCCACGCTGTCCTTTTTTATCAGTGTTTCACTTACACCTAAATCTTCATCAGTTCTAGTTTAGTTCAGGGCTCAATGGTCTTATGGTGAGGATGGAGCAGTGTAGCAAAGCAACTCCACTGACCTGTGGACATGAAGCCTGTGATAGATGAGGAGGTGATAGCATTGGGAGGGAAGGCAACAAGCCTGCGTACTTTCTAGGTGAACCCACCTCTGCAGCTAAATGGATTGCTAAAACAATCCTTGTGTTGATGAGGCTTTGCAAGCCAGGCTACTGGAGCCAATAACTAATTGTGTGCTGTTAGCACACAGCATTCCAATCAGTTCATGCTTTCTTGATGCTTTTGTCCTATAACTATGCCTAGTAAGAGGGATATTGCATTCAAACAAGAGGCTCCATCAGAAATTATCCTTTTCTGCTATTGCTTATTTACTTACCAGGTAAGTCTGTTTAATCTGTTTTGTCCTGTCCTGTAAATGTATTTCAGCTCAGTTCATTTGTGTTCATCCTGACTTCCATGTTTTTGGGGGATGCGTGGTTTGGTTTTTTTGGTTTTTTTGGGTTTTTTTCTGTGCAAGCAGAAAAGCCAGTGATTGCCTTTTCGAGGGTCTGAAATCAGGTAGTACTGGTGAGTTTGAGAACTGACCTGTACACCTTTCAATAGCCTATGAGCTTCTGGTCTACTGTGTTTCAAATAATGCCAACTTAGCAGAGTCCTCCATGTGCAGTGTAGAGAAAACATGACAACCTGTATTCGACAACCTGTATTCCAAGACTGGGTTCTTTAACATCATGTTCGTAACATTGGCTGTGTAACAAGCTATGGCTTGCCTGGATTTAGAGTAGTCCACTGGGACTTCTCTGGGTTGTTCTGTGGGATGTTCTTCCTATTGAGCTGCTTTTTTTCTCTTTTTCTAGAAGAGCCTTTATCCTATGGGCAGAAAAACTGTTTGGTTTTTTTTTTTTAATTCAGTAGAGTATGTTGTACAGTTTTGTTAAAAATAGCACATCGTTTTGAAGGAACCTAATGTCACAATACATCCCCTCCCCTAAACTCCCAAGCTGGGAGATCCTGAATTTTGGCTGATTATTCAAGTTAAAAGGAATACTGGTAGCATAAAATTTCTTTACTGTGAAATGCTCGGCATTAGGAAATCCATGCATTAGCTTTTGCTGCAAAAAATGCCGCTTCTTACTGTGAGCAACCTTATAGCACAATTTTTCAACACTGTTTCAGAAACCCTTGGTTAAACGCAGCTCAGATTAAGTCCTAGCCAGGGGTGTCTGAGGCAGCACTGACCATGATTTGACCTAGATACCTCTTCTTGTTAAATTGTATGTTGCTGCACTGGTGACTTCATCCATAAGCAGCAGTGAGCATAAGCACAGTGAGGGCTGTGATGGCATAGCGCAGGCTAGATGCCGTACACAGCGATCCTTGCATCCGATCTGATAGCACGGAGTTGAAGTGAATCATGTCTTCAATTGCAGTGCTCCAAACTTCAAAGCAATGGACAGTGCTTGTCCCTGTCCTCTGTGTTCAGCTAGCCCTATACTGTATTGATTTTTCTTTCCTGTGTATGCTTTACTGCAAAAGCTTTTGCAGTCAAGGACCTTACAAAAAGCTTTTCTTACTTTGCAAACAAAAGGGGAGAAAATCTGGGTCTACAGAATAATCAAGAATGAATATGGCTATAAAGATTAAAGGCCAAACACTAGTGACTGAACAGTAGAAAGACCTTAGGAAGATTTCAAATGCAGCAAAAGTAAAAAAGCCAACAGCATATCCTGCTTAAGTATCACGATCTCTTTCTGACGTGTTCTGTGTTGTTTTTCTGCTTTATGTTTGGAAACACCTTGGGTGATGGCTGATTAGATTACAAGTCCTGGGAAAATGTCCCAGTATGTACAGTCTCTTCTGTCTCTTTAACTCGCCCATGATTGTGATACCAAGGTGGAGTTAGAGGGTGTTTTAGAATGCCGTTTTTCTATCTGAGGTGTGCCCAGTTCTGCCTTGCTTTTGGCAACATTGTGGTATAAAGGCAACATGCACTGCTTTACAAGGCACCTAATTACATCTTTCTGCTTGTGGCGTTGGTCTGCAACAGTCAGACTAGCTCCTTTCTGTCACTTTCTTCACCAGACTGCTTGTCAGAAATCACTGGGAGATTATTTTTAGGGTTCCCCCTCAACTGTACTCTGTGTATCATCCCAACTTGGAACAGATTTCTTTTTGCAACCTCATAGGTTCTTATAATAAATATCCATGTTACTTGCTCTCATGTTACTACTTACTGAAATAAATTCCAACTATAAGCTTCTTTAATTAAAAGAAAAGTTCTCTTCTTTCCTTTCGTCACGTATTTTATTACCTCTGTTGAACTTCAAGATAGGTGTCTCTAATGGATTAACTACAGTAGAGTTAAATCCACTGGATTTTCAGCTTCCTGTGGACGCGTGGGATATTATGGAACACAGCTTTAGTTTGAGTACCCACTACAACTTGGCTGCTTGCAGAATGCTGAATGTTATTCTCCTAGGCATCCAAACGCAAGCTCTAGCAATTGTCTGTTTATTCAAGTGAAAACCTTAGTTACCTGCCTTTTGTTCTCGCTGCTTTCTTTGCAGGTTTAAAGAATTTCCTGCCCAGTCCAACAAAAGAGCAAATTGCCTTTCACAGCCCCAAGGGTTTGCAATGCATCTTGCCCTTAATGCAGACGGTAGAGGAGACCCCTCAGCCCATCCCAGCGAAGATCAAAGGACGTATTCCCAAATGGATTAATGGCAATCTTCTGAGGAATGGTCCTGGGAAGTTTGAGTTTGGCGAGGAGAAGTAAGTCCAGGTCTGGTGAGTGTGTCAAATGGTTCTGGCCTGAGCTCTGCCTAAACCTAAAGGGGACCCCCCCAAATGTCTCACCGCTGGAGCACCTTGTAGTTTCTTTTTAAGTAAGGCAAGACAGAAATGCTTATGTTATCATTCTTTTAAGAATCCGGAAACTCCCAGTGGGTTCTCTGAAATTAGGAGCATGGTTAACTTATTAAGGTTGGAGAAGCTGAGTCACAGGGAGGCTGTGACCTGCTCAGAATGATTTAATGAGGAAACAAAGCTGGGGATTAAAACATCCTCTCTCCTAGTCCTTTGTCATTAACAAAAGTCCATCCCATGAGCACTCTGAAATCAGGGCAGGATTTGTAAAGTTGATTGCACTAAATTGTGTGAGTTGCTTTAGAAGGAAATCCATCTCATTTTAAAAATAATGTATTAAAATATTTCAAGAAGGCAACTACTGCCTTTGGCTTGGAATCTGCCGTTCTAGCTAATTGACAAACCTAGCTCTTCCTCCAACAAAGCTGATGGCAGCAACTGGCCAAAGGTGATCATCTTATCATATTTCCAGAGATAGACCGTAAGGTTTTCTCAAAGTCTCAGAGATTCCTCATTTCAGAGAGAATAGCATCCTGCAGACAGCCGAGAGCTAAAGGCTCCTTCTTATGCAGTTGGGCTTTCAGTAATAATTTCTACTCTTGTTGTACAGTAAAGCACAATTTCTATTCTCTGTGCAGAAGTCTGCAGAGTGATTGGTTTACCAGTGTAGATTATTTCCCCCAAAAGCTTATATACAGCATTTTCAGAAGTCCCTGAGGTCCTCTTTCAAAAGTAATATAGGGAGCCTAAATCTCTTGAAAGTCAGTGTCTAACTTCAGGTCCCACAGCTGCAAATACACTTGATTTGTTTCACTCAATTCAAATGTTTTCTCAGACTCACCACAAGGCTATGCATGTTTAAGCGCTCATGGGATCTGGGCATTAGCTTTTTACAAGCAATAATAAACCTAAAGGCAAGAGGGAACAGTATAGGAGAATATCATATAGTGTCCAACTCTTGTACTCTTATTTATCTCTTCTTGAAGATTTAACCATTGGTTTGATGGCATGGCCCTGTTGCATCAATTCCAGCTGGAGAATGGCACAGTGACATACCGGAGCAAGTTTCTGCAGAGCAGTTCTTACCTGACTAACAGCCAGCACAACCGCATCGTGGTCTCAGAATTTGGGACGCTGGCAATGCCAGACCCATGCAAGAGTGTCTTTGGGCGCTTCATGTCACGCTTTGAGATACCACGTAAGAGGGTTTCTAAGAAATAAGAAATGTTCTGAGATTCTCTTGGGGAACTTGTGGTTAGGTTTAAAGGGAGATGTGAGGAAGTCTGGTAGGCCTATTCTGAGCCCATGTTTTTATTAGAAGATGACGACCCCTTGGAACAAAGGGGGACAACAAAAATGCAAGTTGGTGTCAGACTTAGCTGGGAGAGGCACATTCAGTTTAATGTTTTAGTGCCACTTCAGCTCATGTGATTCTAGGGTTTGTTGCAAATTTCCAACAGAAATCTTTCCCCAAAGAACACCCTGTGCAGTCCTGATAATGAGCATTACAATCTGCTGTTCTACCTGAGACACACCTTTGCCCTTAAAGGCAAAGCAAGCTTGCCTTGCTAAGCTTGCAGGGTAAGTGGGTTAATCCTTCCCTTCCTGCACTAAGGTACAGGAGATGATATGAGTAGGGTGAGAGACAGTATTGCACAGAAATGGAAGTGCCATTACCTATAGGATTCTGTGTATGTCAGGAAAGAAATAGGCTTAAATGCAAGCAAAGTACTTTCCACTAAAACGAGAACAGACCTAAAGTTTGCAGCTTGTTGATCATGTGTGTGACCATCTTCTGCTTCTTATCTTCCCTGAGGAGATGGATCCTGTCCTGCCATTCCATCTATTCTCTTCAAAGGTGCTCATACCATCACTCATTGGTCTGCCTAGCTCCCCAACTTCCCACCCCACCCCAGCCCTCTCAATAAATTTCAGAACTATCTACATCCCCCATCTTCTTTTCCAAGCTCCAGCAGGTTGTTCCTGCACACCCTTGCCTAGCTGACTCTTTACACACATGTAGGCTATTCCTCACTACAAGAAGGCCTGTCCTCTGGGCTTTTCCTGTGCCAACTTCAGGCTCTGTGTTTACCACACACACAGTGTTCAACTGGGGGAATCGCTTTTTCCACAGCTCTTCTCAGCCACGTGGCTATTGAGTCTCAGCTCCCCTAGGAGTAACAAGAACAGCTCTGGCTGTTGTGCACGTGTAGCTCTCAAAAGGCGTCTCCCTGACTCAGTTTTAAAGAGAAAGAGAATAGGGAAGAAGAAGCATTCCCTGTCCAAGCCCTGTCATACAAATAGCGTCCCTGCCCTCCCCTCAGCCCAAGTTGTAGCTTCAATTCTTGCCTTTCTTGTTTCCAATGCTGTAAATCAAACATGGCACTCTTCATATGGCTGTCAGAGGAGAGGACTTTGGCTAGGGAGGAAAGGGAGAGGGATATGAAGAAATAAGAGATCAGAAACAAAGGGCATATGAAGTATGAAGATTATCTTGGCTTCACTGCAGTGATTTCCACAAGAACCAGTCCTTGTCCTTTTATCCTGAAGTCACCTGTGCAGACAGTCCTGAGTGCCTTTGTAGATTAGTGAGATATTTCTAATCAATCACAGAGGGATTAGTGTCATTGCAAATGGGTTTATTTGTTTAAACATATCTAACTTGCTGTAATGTGATGTGAGCTTAAACAAAGCTGTGTACAACTCTGGGATTTCATTTCAGAACCAAGTGACAATGCCAGTGTGAACTACGTTGTGTATAAAGGAGACTATTATGTCAGCAATGAGAACATCTTCATGTACAAAGTGGACCCAGAAACGCTTGAAACGAAGGAAAAGGTGTGAGCAGGTGGGATAAGGGGGTTAGCTTATGGTACAGGAGAATCACTCCTTGCTGTTTCTAAGAGCAGCAAGGAGGAACCCAGATTCCAAAAGAAATGATCAGTGCAGCTCTGGGCCACAGCCAGCATCTCTTCATGGTGTGCTTGAGTCCCTGAAAAATCTACTTAGCCATAAGGCAGCTGTCCTGAGTGAAGATTCAGTCACTGCCCGCTGTAGCAAGCAAGGGGAGAGACAGATACAGACTCATTTCCGTTTGGGTACAGCTGGCGTTCTTCCAGTGCACTCACTACTTGTCTGGACTTGTCTGTACCTACCAGTGTGCGAAGAATACAAGTGCATATAGGAAGGAGTTAACATCACTGATCTCAGATCTGTATTCTTGCCCTGTCTCTTCATTCTTCCTATCTGTTCCCTTTATCTCCTTCTTACACCCCCAGCTTTAAACACTCCAAAACGGCCCTTCGAAGTCTTGACTAAAACCTCTGTTGCAAATGGGTGGTGAAGTCAATGTAAAGTCAAGTCAAAGTTCAGCTGCCACTTTGTTTTCTCCCATGCTAGCAAATGAACAAAAAATCAGAGTAGAAGTCTTCCCATATATTCTGTGCATCGTCTCACAAGAGTGTGGCTGTATTTGAGGGAAGAATATGACTTGTGAAATGACAGCATAAGCTATATGTCCCCCTGCCTGCCCCCTTAGAGGGGATTTGGGTATTTGCCGGCCTGGACAACTGTGAGAAGGACTGAGGAAGGATCCTGCCGTTCCTGAGTCAGTATTAACTACTGTGCCTGTATGTTACCACAGGCTATTTAATACCACAAAATACCTCAGCACACCCTCAGATCTCGAGGGAGGCATTGCAGGAGTGCCTCCCTCCCTACAGGATCAGTTGTGAGTCATGAAGAAACTCTGTATATGAACTATAGCATGCTACTTGCATATTGAAATGGCGAGTTTGACGATTTGCTATTTTATCTGTTTTGTAAACCATAATGCAGCGATGAAAAGGTGCATGGGTATTTTTAGTTTGAATGTTCAGCTCTGTTGAGCCATCTTGTCATTAAAAAAAAATTCCCCTTAAGCTGCTTTTTAGATGCAGACTGGTATTTTTTGGCTAAGTGAAGAAATGGAAGGGATGATTTCACATTTAAACTCTCCGATTTGAGATGCCTTAAAAGGACACGGTTTTCTAAGCTTCTGGTGGTGTGGCACTCTTTTCTACTGGGACCTTCCAAAAGGTCTCAGGTTAGATACTTGAAAGCCATTTTTTTAAACTTTTGGAAAAGAAGCGTATCTTCCATGCTTTAATGTTTCAATGCATGGATTGATCTTCCTCCAACTTCTTCCTTCAGACTTTCTTCCCAACACATCCCCTCCACTGTCTGAGCCCAAACCACACCCTAACCCAGGAACTAGGAATACACATTAACAGTACTCACAACTGTACCTTTGCCCTAACTGTTCCTTCTAGCTGTAGACATTGAAGTGAAACTGTTTTCTCTGAGAGGAGAGTAAACACTGACTGTCTATTAGCTATGGGTGCTTTCAGAAAACTTGGTGATTTTTTGGGGGCAGTGACTATCTCCTTACGCATGTCTGTCTGTGGTTATTACATGGGGTCCTAGTCAAAATGCTCATATAGGCAACATTTCCACTGTGTCAGCACTTTCTGCCATTAGTAATGTTCATGTCTTCCAGAGAAATGGCTAGTGCTATTAGTCCCATTTTACTGGTAGGACTAACACAGAGAGAAACACCGTTAATTTTCAAGGATTTGAGGAAGATTGCCTGCAAAATGAAGGCTTAAGCCCAGATCCCACATTAGGGCCATAATCATCAAGCTATTCTTCCTCAGACTTTCATGCAACCAACATTTAGAAAGACTGTGGCTTGCTACAGAGCAACAGGAAACTTCTATGCTGACTGAAAATCTTTGGCATTTGCAGGTAGACTGGAGCAAATTTGTTGCGGTGAATGGGGCCACTGCTCATCCTCACTATGAGTCTGATGGGACGACGTACAACATGGGCAATTCCTATGGGAAACATGGTAAGACTGGGCATGACCAGGCCTGGTTTGTGTGCAGGGTGTACAGGCTGCTTGCTGCTGCTTCAAGGAGCAGTTGTTGAACAAACTTCAGTGTCTAAACAGACCTTGAAATCGCTGTTTCTCTTTGTGTCAAAATGATAGCAAACCAGATTAGTTCTTATTTCAGGGGGTCAGTCTGTCCTATGAAAATGGCTTCTCTCAGCAATTAGTTTCAGATGCTTCTGTCTTTGGCCCATGAGTATCCAACAGATTCCCCTCTTCCTCTCCCAAGCTTTGATGGAAAACAGAAGAATGATTTTTAAAGTCCCCTCCAGCATTGAAGCCTCATCCAAAGAATTTTGACAATTAGCCACGTTTTCCACTTACAATAATTGGCTTTTGATAAGGACCATAAGAGTTTATACACGAGAGAAGGTGGAATTTATTACAGTGACCTGGCTATCATCTTACAGTAAAGCTGAATTTTCTGGGATATTTTTCTTCTTCCACAAACTATGAGTATTACATCTAGTTGGGATCTAGTTACATCAGCATGGCTGCTCAGAGCTATCATTCACCATTAGTTACATGAAAGCCTTCTTTCACAGTGCCTGAGGCCTGTGAAAACAGCCACTGCCCTTTATTATGATACCTCAGGCTGGTTCCAGTTCACTGAACATTTGCCCAGTTTTGATCATTTTTCATTCTTGCTCTTTTCATTTCCTTTTCGCTTTAGCAATATCTAGCTTTGCAGCACATGCGGTTTTCAGCTGGAGAGACCAAACTATTATTATTCAAATGTGCCATTCTTTCCTGCCCATATGCTCAGATTTATTAAATGGGTGTTAGTCATCACCAAGGCTCAAAGTTTTCATTTCCTTTGATACACAAGCTATGAACTTGTTTTTCTTCCTGATCCTGTTGTTATAGAATACTCTAAGTTAACATAAGGAATGCATTGCAGACAGTAAAATTAGCTGGCAGTCTACCAGACTAAGAAGATCATTCTTCTTCCTTTCAAGCTTCTTTTTTTGCTAGGTAGTCCTCTGTTGATTGTTTTATTGACTTGATAACTGGCTTTTTGTTTTCTGCTCGGTTTAGCTATGACCGTGGTTCCTAGTATTCTAGGGAAACAGAAAGGAACAGAGCCTGACTTTGGTTTCATGAATGTGGACAGTCTCACATCTCAGTGGTGTTGAACACCCTTTCTCCTTTCCAGGGTCTAGGTATAATATCATTCAGGTCCCTCCACAAAAGTCAAACTGTAGTGACACGTTAGAGGGAGCGAAAGTGCTGTGTTCAATTGCTCCAATGGATAAGATGAAACCCTCCTACTATCACAGCTTTGGTAAGAATGCTTTCTATCTCAAACTCTGTGGATTTAGCCTACTGTAAGGCAGAAAGGGCTGTTCACTGCCCTCTGCCCCTGAGATTTTTTATCGTCGCATTTGCCTAATACTCGGATGATAGCTCCTTCCTTCTCTTTTCAGGAATGAGTGAAAACTACATCATTTTCATTGAGCAACCCATCAAGCTGAATCTGTTGCAGATTATCACTTCCAAACTCCGTGGGAAAGCCATTTTTGAAGGGATAAGCTGGGAGCCTCAGTACAATACTTGCTTCCATGTGGTGAATAAGCATACTGGGGAGGTAGGTAGATCTTTGGCCTTTCCAGCAGCTGTGCAGCTGTAGCTGGAATCTTGGATCCCAAGAGAAGAGTGCTGGGTAGCAGCCACAGATAGCTGTATGAATCACTCCAGAAGTTACTGCAATATAGGCTTTATAAGCATGGGTGTTGGTTTGTTAGAAATGGGATTACTTCATGCATTTTCCTCTCTATTGATTCATTTCTTTGCCAGCCCTAAAAGAACAGGCAGAAATAAGCAGTTTGGGGTTCCTGGGACTGCAGCACAGGGACTGAAATGCAGTTCCCAAGTACTACAGAGTATAAAAAGGTCAGTCATAGCCTGGGAATGATGCTATAGGGATGGAGTCATGACAGCAAGAGGCCTATCCTGGGCTGCTTTACATTTTGGCTTTTCTTCATCTGGTTTTGCCTACTTACTGGCTTAAAGCAGCCATTCTGTAGTAACACAAGGGCACAAATACCAAGGAATGAGTGGGGAATGAAATGGGGGAGAGAAGAGAAAACTCTTTGAGGTGTGGCTAGGATCTTTAGAGAGGAAATTTATCCTCTCTTATGGTCACTGTAGGTGCTGCCAGGGCAGTGGTACAGTAAGCCCTTTGCTACTTTCCATCAAATCAATGCCTTTGAAGATCATGGCTGTGTGGTCCTTGATCTGTGCTGCCAGGATGATGGAACAACTCTGGCTACTTACAAACTTCAGAATCTGCGGAGGAGTGGGGAAGGTCTAGATCAGGTAAGATCTCTGCATTTATGTTGCGTAGGATCTGATGAGGCCCCATGCTGGCTGAGTTACTTTTCTGAAGCAAGGTTCAGGTTAGTAGAATGGAGAACACTATGGGGGACCACAAGGCGGAGCATGTGAACTAGGGAAAGGAACCACGACTGTATGGAAAAACTAAAATTATGATCTATTGCTATGTTGGTATTTTCCTTTCCTTTTAAATATCTTAGCAGATAATCTCCATGGAGCGTTTCCTTGAAACTTTTAAAACTGGTGTGTGACACAGATCTCCATCAGCCTGGCAGAATGTACTTCTGGTTTAAAGTCTCATTTCTAATGATACTCGTTTTCCATATCCCTGTGTAATAAAATTTTCCCCCCAAGAAAGTATGCAAAATAAGTTTTTGCATGACTTTTAAAGGGCAAAAGAAAAAGAAACCCTGTTGTTTAAAGGCATTACTTCAGAAAACCAGCCTTTATTATGTAAATCACAGAAACACAAACTTCACAGAAACCCCTACATTGTTCCTCACATTCACCTCACAACAGCATGTACTCATAAATCAATTATGTCCAACTCTGTCAAAAGCACCATTTAAAGCCATGTAAGAGGCATTATTTTGCATAGATCATACATTGGAAAAGTGGGGGTGCTTTCAGTTTCTTGTACTGCAGATGTGTTTATTTGAAACCCACTATATTGTGGGTGAAGGGCAGGCATTTCTACAACATGTTCAAACAAATCTGAACTTCCTCTGTCTATGTTCTGAGCTGTCTAGAAGCAAGTCTGTTCTGACCTGAAAAGTGTATAGTTGTGTCCCCGTAGGGTCACTTTGTTCTGCTTTCCTTTGTTGTTTTTTTGCAAAGATGTGGTGAACATTAATTCAAGTACAGCATCGTGTTAATATGACCATTTGCTTTGCAACTGATTCCAGCTTTTGTTCAGCCTTCCCTGAGCACAAAAGAGCTACAATTTGATCTGTCTGAAGGTGTCCTTATGTCAACATTAGGCATATGTTTCCAACACCCACGTTCTTTAACGGACAAGTAGCATAGCCGTTAGACTGTATACACACACGAGTGCAAATCATTTCAGAACAGAATCTTAAATTTACACTGCACTGAAAGACTAAGGCATGCCTGAGCATGATTTGTGTCTTCCTCGAATCATGCTTAGTGCTTTTGCTTGCTGACTAAACCATATTTTGTCTGGCAGATTTCCTCAACCAATCAGTTTACTGTGGCTACATAAAAGCTTTGAAAATAGGGTTTCAAGATTAACACATATGATTAAAGTGAAGTTTCACGTTGAACTGGTGAGTTACAGATCGAAGTAACTGAAAACCACCAAAACAGGGTCCTTGCCATCTGTTTCATTTAGAAGGCTTAATATTTGGAAGTATTACAGGTTCTAAACTTGGCTTGAACAGAACTTTAGTGGCAGTGGTGGAATTACTCCTCTCATGCAACCCGCTGAATGTCTGCCACACTGGGGGCTGCTAGTTCGCTTTCCCCTTTGCTCCCCAAGTAAATCCACCACTACCCTAGAATTCCCAAACATGAAGTCCATGTGTACCTGAGAACGGAAGAGGAAAATCATGCAGGCTAACTTCAGGCATTGAACTGGGGTACAGTAGTCTCCTTCTGCTTGCCTTATCATCCAGGGGAGAGGGAGGCTCCTCCAGAGACTGATGTAGAGCATTTAGTCAGATGTTTCCAGTCATCCTCTGGACAAGCCCCTCCTTCCATTAATTTCACAGAGAGCCAACATTTACACTCTGAGATTAACAGCAAGCAGTACGGTCAGTGTCTGTGTCATGCTGTTATGCCACAAAGATCTGAGACAGTCTACAATCAAGCAGTTTTTCTTCTGAAGCTTTGTAACCGCACGCAGCTTATATACTTATAAAGTTCTTCTTCCATGCATGGTTCATATTATTTAAAATAATGTGGAAGTTTCTCAGTGCTTTGTTCAGCCTCAGGCTTCCAAAGTGGGACTGCCACTAATCACCAATAGGGCTGTAGAGGGTGGGTTTCCAGCAGGGGTATCCCCTCTGCTTGCTCAGTGCTAGGGAGGTCCCATATTCTGTAATCCCCCTATTAGCTCATGATCTTGGTTGGGCAGGAAGGAACTAAGTCACACAGTCAGTGGGGCATATGTGGACAGGCTGTGAAAAGGATCAATGTAAGTCTGTTCTAACTAAATAAAATATAGTGCAGCGTGTGTCCCAATGCTGGAATTGGAGGATAACTGAGTGATTTGCATACCCAACTCAGCATTAATTATTGTGAAAGCAATGCTGACCCATTTAATTGGTTGTCTTTTTGTTTTCCGCTGTAAAGTACTGCAACAAGCAGAGCCCTTACCAGAACTTGGTAAAACACATAATAGAAAGAAGATTTCAGGGTTGGGAGGAATGTGTAAAGCTTCAGAATTGTTCCCAAAAAGGGCACTTAGCCCGAAATGTCACTCTCCTCTCTCCATCACCATAACTTTCTGTCTCTGTAATAGATTTATGACTCAATATCCCGAGCTTTCCCTCGACGCTTTGTTCTCCCACTGAATGTGAATTCAGACACACCTGTGGGGAAGAATCTGAACCCACTGTCTTACACACTGGCAAGGGCTGTGAAAGATGCAGATGGCAAGGTATGTATTAAAGACTTACACAACAGCATTTATGGCTGTGGTGAGATTGCCTGCAACAGTTATCATCCTGTGCTATTATCTTCTCAGATCTTGTCCACCAAGCAAGGAAGCAAGGTTTGGTCATTACTAAGATGGGACTTAGTGTTTTAGTACAAAGACTACCACATTGCCTTAAATGAGAGAGCAAAGACAGATTGTGACTTACCAAAAACGCCCAAGTGGATTATGAGCCTTTACGATAATTGGCCAAACTTCAGCTTCTTCATTGACAAAATCCTCCATGCTTTCACCTGGGTACGGAACTGCTCTTTGCTTCCAGCTCTGAACAGCCCTACAGAGTGGCATTCGGTGCTATAGAACACGTGTTGTCCACTATGAGTGGAGTAATCTCTGTGTGTACTTTGTACATCCGATTGCTGAGTGCTGGAGCTGGGATTTTCTGAGCTAGGAGTACAGGAATGCATGGACTTGCTCCTGTTTTTCACATTAGACTGATCCTTGAAGTTTCCAAGGTCTGCGATGATGAGTCAGTTCTTTGGGTGAAACAGATAAGGGAGATGGAATTGATGCTTCCACCTGCCTCAGTGCAATGTCAGGCTCATCTTTAAACATTTCTTCTCCACAGTGGTTGTGCAGTGGGTTGGTGGGACCAGTCAGGTCTTCTGCCCAGTCAAAGCTAAACTGACACTTGTGGAATGCATACTTCTTCTAGGTCTGGTGCACACATGAAAATCTCCACCCTGAGGGCTTTGAAAAGGTTGGGGGCTTGGAGTTCCCCCAGATCAACTACTCTCGGTACAATGGTAGGAGGTACCGTTACTTCTATGGATGTGGTTTTCGGCATTTGGTTGGAGATTCCTTGATCAAGGTTGATGTGGACACCAAGAATTTCAAGGTGAGGTGAAGTGAGATTATCTTTTTTCAGCAGTGGGAATCATTCCACTGAACTGGCCTTGAAGATACGTCATTTACTAGGCACTTTACTCTTTAGGGGTCTTCATTCAGATAGGTCTGAGATGAGATTCCTAATTTTATCTCTCACCTAGCGCCTTATGAATGTGGCACACTTAGCAAACAGGAGAGGATATCACTCCAGGTTCCTAGATAGATGACAGAACAGAAAGGGTTGGATGAAGTATGCATGTGTCTTCCAGGCCAAAGAAGAGTCATCTCTTACCAGACAGTACAGAAAATACCCAAGTAGCATAGGCAGTTGGAGATAAACTGCCAAAGTATTTATGACTTGGGCAAGAAACAAGGTTTAGGATACTTCCAACTGCAAACACAACCTGGGATTTTTCCTGTGTCTCCCTTAAGCAGGGAATAATGATCTCCAAAGTGTTAAACGCTTATTAATCAGAGACTTTCCTGGAGGCTAGGGAGAGTTAGGAATCCTCAGAAGGAGACACCCATTTTAATTGTTCTGCTCCGGATACTCATTTGACAGTAAGAGTGTCCTCCTTCAGCACAGCTTTGGGTTGCTATGGCTCTGCCTGCAATAGAAGCAGCAGCTATGCCCTCAGGTGGTGATGGTGACAGACCTCCTCTCTGCTGGCATGACACCTCTCTCTCCACAGTGCCTGGGCACAACATGGTCTGCACTAGGGTGGTGTGAAGGTGGCTGTGCCAGCTATGATGGTGGTGTTTTCTGAGCTTATAGCCTATACCTGCGCCAGTGCAAACTGTTGGATGAGATGACTAATAGGAACCTTTTCGCTGCCTGTTTGCATGACGCCTGCCACAATAGGCATGCTGTCACAACACTGCCACCATCATACTACTGGAATCAAAAGAATTAATTAAAAGGTTGAACTATAGGTTTCTTGGAGCACAGAGTATGCCTGGGTATCTTTGTGGGGAGCACTCCAACTTGCAACTCTGCTAACTATAGTAGACAACTATTAATGAAATGAAACACATCCATATGTTATTTTGCTTGCTAGATTTGGCAGGAGGATGGATCCTACCCATCAGAGCCTGTGTTTGTGCCAGTGCCTAATGCCACGGCAGAAGACAGTGGAGTCATCTTGTCTGTTGTGGTCTCCCCCACTGAGGTAACTCGTTGCTACTAGTTAGTCAAAGTCACATAGTACTAGGTATACTTTCTAAACCACAAAACTGAATTTGAGGCTCTCTGGCAGATAGTTCTAGGACCATGCTCCCCAAGGTGTGTGCCTCTGCAACTGCCAAGCACAGCCAGGCAAACTTCAAGTAGGAGTGTACCTTGGAATGTCAGTGTTTCTTGAGTGGCATCTGTGACTATTAGTGCTCCTGGCCAACTGTCTTACAGGTTTAGTCTGTATGGTCTGGTTGTACCTCCCCGTATGGCCTGGTTGTACATTTGGGCTCCCTTGTGGGGGCTCCCTTGTGGGTGACAGATGTAGTGGGTTGGACAGTGGAATGAAGTTCAGCCTGGGCATTCATTCTGGCTTTCTTTTCATCCTGCAGAACCAAAGTGCTTTCCTGCTTGTCTTGGATGCAGAGACCTTCAGAGAATTGGGGCGAGCAGAAGTCGCAGTGCAAATGCCGTATGGATTCCATGGCATCTTTACTTCCCACTGACTGAAGATCTTGTCACCTCCTGTAACTCAGGGCCAGGTCAGGCTCAGAAAGAAACCTCTGCTTTCTTTTACCACCCACCTTTGCTTTATGTCCTGGATGAAGGAACTGCTGTTTCTCTATCATAACCTCTGAGTTACTGCTGTATTCCTAACAATATACAGCAAAAGGTCTGAGGAAGGCAGAAGACCTTTCACTCAAACAACTCAAACTTTATCTTCATTTTCTGACTATCTTGATAGACCAGTTAGCTGCAGTTCACAAAGGCTGCCACGCGTAAAGCTTGCAAGGGAGAAAATGGAAACTAAGATGACCATTACCTTCCCTTGGTAGCAATGCGCTCTGAAGGGAAGAGAGTATCGGTGCTTAGGGCAGTGACTTTGGCTGAAATGTGTAAAGCAGAAGAAAGGAGTAAAACCAACTAGTCATATGTAGGCTCAATGAAGATATGTAATTTCACCCCCATTGCATAAAGATTGCCTTCAGTGAACCCCAGAAAGTAGATGCAAACGCTCACAGAACCTGTACTTGTAGTGCTTTTCTCTGTACACTAACGGTGCCCTCAAATAAAACCTTGTGAAGTTTCTTCCTTTCTTTCCCTGCCCTCACCAGACCTATGGCCAACTTTGTGCTGTGCCACAAGAGGCAACAGCTGCAACCCTGACACACACCTTAGTATGTTACATGGTCTTGTACACATGCATGACACGTCTCTTCTATGCTCCTGCTTAAACAGCATAGCTGGATGCAGCTCTGATGGCTAACATTTCCTGCCTTCCTCCTAATTCAATCAGTATGAAACAAGTAGAACTCCATTGTGGCCTTGATATCCCTTTGCTCTTAAGTTGAGCAGATCAAACTCAAACACCCTCTCATATGTTTGCTTCCTCATCCAGGCTCCTACAGCTCTTGAACTCTGAGGTGTAGGTGGATAGGTGTGTTGAGGGAAGTCCTCTATAGCAGTTCACTTGCAGGTCTGCCTTTAAGGACACTGTGAAAAGTAAAGGCTTCCCGGAGAATGGATCTCCCTCCTGGCTTAAGGACTTTTTATATTGCTTCATTGTGAGAAGCCTGGAGAATGTTTTGAACCACTTCCTTGAGCAAAAATGAGCCCTTGTGCCCTAGGGTTTGAAGGAAAGCCCTTGCTTCCTATTTGCAAACTTGCTTTGCTTTTTTTTTTTTACTCCTGATGTTCTGGAGGCCAGCCCAGACAGAATAGAACCAAATCAGAGCTGACTCCCTCTACCCAAACAACCCAGCTTTATCTCCTCTCTGACCTTTCTTCACCTTCCTTACAGTCTTGGGAAAAGACAAGGGAGAGAAACAAGGATTGTACACCAGGGCTGCAGCACTGTGGGAAGGCGGAGGGAGAGGCTCATGCCAGAGCTGATCTCACAAAGCCACTAGATGGCAGACACCTCCCGTTGCTGGTGCTCCAGCCCTGCCAACCGGCTGCCTCCCCTACTGCAGCCGGCTCCCTGTCTGTAACTTGCCATGCCAGCCAGTGGAAGTGCCCTCCTGTAGCCTGTTACCCACAGGGGGAGGGAACAACCCCCAGCGAAGTCACATCCCCAGGACTGGAAACTGAATGATGCTAAGGAAGTGCTTAATGATGGCGGGTAGAGTTCTGTCACCATTGCTGCTCTTTTTTAAACTTTTTTTCCTTGGTGAGGTGGGAACGGGAAAGGCAGTGTCAGAGGTTCATATGCAACCCTGTGTTAATTGCAACCAGCCAGAGTACCCAAGGCAGGGCTGTAGATCAATAGTGCAGGGGAAGAAAGATGCCCTGTGGTGCAAAGTCCGTCCTGTGTTTATAAAGCTGTACTTCAACAGCATGCAATCCTAGCCCCTGCCTGTGTTGTGTGCACACAGGCTGTACTCCACTACCTTAAGAGCTGTTTTTTCTCTTGTTCCTGTTATACAGAACTCTGAGATCCTGCCCTGAGGCTTGGAGTTTTCTCACTCTGACAAACTGGCAGAGAAACTCTGTTACCCCTGGGGCACCAAGAATTTCCAGGAATTAAGGGAATGTGCTGATGCAGTTACCTCCATTCAAACCCTTGCAGCACTGAGAAATTCAGATTCCACCCTGTCTCCCAAAGCTTTCTGAAAATCACCACACTTCATGGATTCCTCTGCTTGAACTCAATGAATGTTATTACCAGAGTGCACTCCTGCAAGTCTGTCAGGTTCATAACCATCCCAGAGGTCAAATTAGTTTGCCAGGATAGAGAGGGAATCAACAGGCCTGGCAGCCCCTTCCTGTGACTAGTGCAGGGAAGGACTGCTGTGTACACTTACTTCATCTGAACCATCTCAAATCAGGCACATGACCAGGGAGCAGGGCATTCTCAAAGGTTTAACAATAGCTCTTCAGATACCACAGTGCTGTGGAGTGGACAGAGCTCGGTTATTTTAGGTGGGTAGGAATTAGATCCATGAAGTTTTCTCAGTCCCTTCAGGTGAGTATTGCTTTGTGAACTGCTTCTCTTTGGATTGCTGTGTAAACACCTTACAAGTGCATTCAGAGCCTGCCAGCTTTCCTTTGGCAGACCCACCTCTGTGCACTGATGCATTTATAAACACACTTCTTGCAATTGTCATAATACAAGAAAACAAAAGCAAATCAAACTGTTGGCCCAGAGGTCAAATCATTGCTAACATTACCTCTACAGGATAAATGAGAGGATGAAACGCCTTGAAAGAGGAACATCAGTGAAAAGACAAATGGCAGGATGCACAAGTTTCAGGTCTCTGATCTGGTTCTGCAACAAACCCCAGTCCTGCCCTGTAGAAAGCTCCTCTGCTGTTTGAGCTTATGTTGTTTCACTGATGCACTCTTTTCGGTGCACATCTCAACTTATTCTGTTCCTGGGCCTCACATCCACCGGCCCAGCAGCCTAGATAATGCAAATGAGGAACTTTGATGTAGTCCAAGATAGTTTTTGTGTATGTTCTCTAAAGCTGAATTTGAACTAAGCTGAAAGGTTAGCTTATTGGTACTCCACAGCATCACTTCTCCCTGTACCATCATACCAAGCCCACTTGGAGACAGATGAACAGCAGCGATTTGAACTGGAAAATGCAATGCATGTTTTTCAGTCTCACATTCCATCCTTCAGAGCTGATCCTTCTCTCCCCCGGAAGCCCATGTAGAAATGTTTTAACAGCTGCTTATTATTCTCATGGTGATTGCTGTGATTTTGATTGCTGTTCTCAGAGAGCTTCCAGTTTTCTGCATCACTCAGTGATTTAGTGAAAAGTGAGCTAGTAAACAGCTGGTGTAGGGAAGCATGCGCTATAGCAGATCACACCAATGGGCCATTGGAGCTGTTGTCATACCTCTGCATTTGGTAGGGCTGACACAGTGGCTCTTAACAGCCTTTTTTGTTTTCTCTCTGTACCACTGGCTCATACAAGATTGCAGTATGTGTGCAGGAGTTCAACAAGGGCAACTGCAAGGTCCTGCACATGGGTCGGGGCAATCCCAAGCACAAACACAGGCTGGGTGGAGAACGGATTGAGAACAGCCCTGAGGAGAAGGACCTGGGGGGTGTTGGTTGATGAGAAGCTCAACATGACCTGGCAACATGCGCTTGCAGCCCAGAAAGCCAACTGTATCGTGGGCTGCATCAAAAGAAGTGTGGCCAGCAGGTTGAGGGTGATTCTTCCCCTCTACTCTGCTCTCGTGAGAACCCACCTGCAGTACTGCATTCAGCTCTGGGGCCCCCAACGTAAGAAGGACATGGACCTGCTGGAGTGAGTCCAGAGGAGGGCCACAAAGATGATCAGAGGGCTGGAGCACCTCTCCTACCAAGTCAGGCTGAGAGAGTTCAGCCTGGAGAAGAGAAGGCTCCAGGGAGACCTTCTAGCAGCCTTCCAGTACCTGAAGGCGCCCTACAAGAAAGCTGGAGAGGGACTTTTTACGACGGCCTGTAGTGACAGGACCAGGGGGAATGACTTTAAACTGAAAGAGGGAAGACTTAGATTAGATACAAGGAAGAAATTCTTCACTGTGAGGGTGGTGAGGCACCGGGACAGGTTGCCCAGAGAAGTCGTGGATGCCCCCTCCCCGGAAGTGTTGAAGGCCAGGTTGGACGGGGCTCTGAGCAACCCGGTCTAGTGGAAGGTGTCCCTGCCCACGGCAGGGGGGTTGGAAGTAGATGATCTTTGAGGCGCCTTCCAACCCAACCCATTCTACGGTTCTATGATTCTCTGAGGCATTAGCTGGGGACAAGGAGGAGCAGCCAAGCTGTGGCAATGAGCAAAGCAGGCATTTTGCCCACTCGCGCGTCAGGGCGAGGCGAGGGCAGGCTCCTGCGCCCGCACGCCGCGGCGGGCCGAAGGCAGACCCCGCCCTAGCGTCCGAGGGGAACAGTCCGAGGAGCTGAGCCCCGCGCCCGAGGGCACAGGCGGGCGCCTCGGCTCGCACCGCGCGGACGGGGCAGCCGCCGAGGCT